CTTTACGTTCGCAACATATGGAACCTTTAAAAGTATCAACATTTTTTATTATTTCATTATTTATACGTTCTGGCTATTTTTTTTATTTACTCTATTTCAATATCAATTTATCGCGCGCAACAGTTAAATCAACTGCCCGTCGTCCCTACTATAAATATTATATTGCCCGTACTTTCTGGGCGTTTTGTAAATGTCCCGCAAATCGACGTAGTTAATACAAATACACATCTATATACACACCACTATTTTGGCCACAGTTGAGCGAAGCACGGACTTTCGACCCAAAACCAAAATGCCCTAAAAATAGCGTTCCAATAATGTCATATTTTTAACAATACGGATTTTTGGATTTTCAAAATCACGATCATGCGCATTTTTCCCAGTTCTGCTCGTAGCTATAATAAATCATGTTCTATGTAAAAGGATAATGAAGATAAACCGTATCTGTTACACCGAATGCATTTATATTCGGTTAGGAGAAATAGAAATTTTATGAAATAAACTACATACGGTACCTATATTATATATATATAAGTATGGTTTCGGTAATACAAGCGCATTTTGGAAAAATACATTTTAATCGAAAGAAAGCAACGGCCCGTGTTTTATTATGTAGCCTCCTCGGCTTTACACAGGAAATTGGCCGTCTACCGTTGTTGGTCCGAAAGCAAAGTAAAATATTATGTTGACTTAGAAAATTGTCTTTTGTTTTTATTTTTGTCTGCGATTATTCTGGATGTTTCTTGATCACTGTGTCAAGTTGCAAAATGACACTTTATAGTTTCAATTTTAACGATTTTAATATTTAACGAGCGATCACACTGTCACAAATGTAAAATATTACTTTTGTCCAGAAATTGTAGAATAATTTTAACGAAATAATAGAGTACTATAATATAGATAAAATTATAGTAGGAAAAAATCTTATGAATTTTTGGTTAAAGGATCTGTCGGATTTTTTAGTTTTCCAAAAGTTCGAATTTTTGCACTTGTCGTCTTTCATAAATAAACGGTTCTCTTATAAATTAACAACATAAATATATTTATTTGGCTTTAGTCTATTTGACTCAATAATAATTATATGGCCGTTCATATAGTTGTGGTTGGGTATATGAACACACGTCGTCGCTTAATGTACACATAGAACAATAGTTGGTATTTTTCTGTTTTAAAATACTATAGAAAAGAAATACTATATATTATACATACATTGAGAGCAACCCTTGCAGTTGTTTGTTATAGTTTTAACAATGAAATACTCCATAGAGTAATCAGTAGAGAACGAACGGCGGGAGTTGCAAGGTCCGTCGTTAATTAAGTAACTGTTATGAATACATAACATTTACATATCATCCATAGAATATGTTGTAATTGTTTTCCTTTACACACTCTAAACGCAATTCTGGCTCGAAAACACTAAATGGAATTTACTGTCAAGAGCTGAAATACCGATGCTTTTTTTATTATGTTTACTTGTTTAATTTTGTCTCTTCTTTTTCATTCATTGTTGTAGTATTTTTTTGTATTCGTATTACGCGCTACATTACGTTACATTTTACACGGAATGCGCTCTTTATCTTATTGGTAGAAAAACTATCACAGAACATTTAAATTGTATATTCAAGATGCGTTACTTTAAAATGTGTCAACTGACGTTAGTTTATTTTTTCCTGAAGGCACTCGCGGTGATATATATGAGTAGGTATCCCTTAAATCCAAAAGGGGTATCGATGAAATTGGAAAAAATTATGCCCACGTCCTGTATTGTAAGTATTAATGCACAAATTTAAAGACGTTAATTAATCATTAATTCCTGTTGTTCTTTTCATAAAATATAATTCATACTTTGGTTACATTTTAATTTTTATATAATACCTAACATGTAAAAGAGTAACTATATTTATTTATATTTAAGTTGTACTTTTTGTACACAAAAAATAGTTTTGCATAAGTTTATATCAGTCTTTTTTGGGATTTTTAAATACTATTCAGCACATTGTAATTTGTGCCATGTACGAGTGTACATATAATGTTTTTGACCTTGGTACGGAAGCGATTTAATAATATAATTGATTATTTCTGAATCGTTTTTGCTAATTAATGGAGATAGCTACTGTTAATATACCAAGATGAGGAGGAAAAGGTACTTGGAAAAGTTAAATCCTCTTAAATATTTAGTAGCATTTCAGCATTGGTTTTTTAAGTAAAAGTTAAGCAGCTAAATTTCATTAATTACAAGCCATTTCAGGAGCTATTTGAACATGGAAATTATATTAAAATTTCTTCGTACAAGGCCGTCAACGTAAAGAAATTACAGACTATGTCCTTGACTCGATTTAATTAAAAATATAGCTCTATTACTGGGATTGGGATGATCCCGACCAGCTTATTTAGATCAGCATATCCCAAAAACGTGTACTTTGCAAAGACTACAAAACTGGGTAAAATTAGGATTTTTATTTATTTTAACAGTCTCATTGTAATGCTTATAATAGGATATACGAAGCGTAAATCTAATTTTCATTCTAAAACTTGTACTTCAATGCATTTAGATATTTGATTTTTCCAAATTCTGTGAACTCGGTCATTGCCCCCCACTAACCTCTGCCCACTGTAGCACTGTGACTCAGCCCGGCCCTGCTCAACGTGCATACTTATAAGTAATATTAATTAATAGTTAAATATATATATTTAACGAATATTATTGTAATTTTAGAATACCAATCTTGGGACGAGCGACGGTCGTGCAAAGTTGGTCATTAGCGCGAAGACGACGATATTATTATTATTATTATCATTAATATGATTATTATTAAAACGATCGTCACGCGGTCATACGACGGTGATAGGAACAAAATATTACTGAGAATTCGCAATTACTTGTTAGTAATAACGCGCGAGGGAATTTGCAAATATATATATATATATATATATATATATATGATTAATGCGATAGCAGAGTTGTCACTACAAGCTGGAACGCGGTGCAGATGATAGGGGCGAGGACGGGCACGGTGTTCGGCGTGGACCGGCTGCTTTTGACGACATTTCTGCGCCAGGGTAACTGGAGGCCGGGATAAAGGTGAATTGCCAGCGTCCTTTTGTCGGGGCATCCTCTCCGGCTCTTCCCGGTTTCCAGAAAAAAAAAAAAGAAAAAAAAAACCCTTCGGGGTATATCAAATTTTCGACCACTTCACGCACGAGTACGCGAATAATATAAAAGTGGAGAGATTAAATTGTTTTCAGGCAACGCTGTATACATTATACATAAACACACATACACACACACACAGGTATTATATTATATTTACTCAAACGCCGACTATAAAGTTCTTTAGACGTCACTCGGCACGATATTTTATTCGGGAAAAATTTATAATGGGCGGAGTCGTATTTGCACTCCTTGTATTTCCTTCTTTTCTCGGCAAAACAACAACCGAGTGTATACTGGTCTGAGATTAAAATGGATATTATATTTTATACGAATGTAAAATATGTACCTATAATTATTTGTCTGACAAACGACCGACGCGGTAATAATATATTATTTTACTTTAGCAGAGAAAAGTTGAATATTTGTTAAGCCTGTAATCAGACAAAATGTAATTAAATAACGAATAACAACTAAAGCAAATCAAATGACGTATTCATTTTGTACATAATAATTATTTTCAAAACGCAACGTCTGAATAAATCAAATTATTCAAATAACATAGTGTTATGACATAACACAGTGAATTTTCAAAATTACAAATTACAATAAATAACATTTAGCTTAACGATTAATTTTTTAAAAATAACAAAGTTACAATGGAAAATAAACTACCTGATTTTATTGATATAACTGATACGACCTACATAAATAATAAAAATTGCTCCTTAAAATATCGTTACAAGGTTAAAATATTACTCTGCACCCCTACCTCTCAAAAAAAATGTTTTTACGAACATTTCACTAAATATTGTTTGTATTGAAATTATTTGTTTATTTCAATTTGTTTTTTTTCATAATTAACTTTTCGATGAACTTTAAGTTAAACCATTAAGGATTTTTTTCAACTAACTAACTATAATTAAATTAATTTTAACTAACCTAACTAGTTTTAGAATAAAAGAGACTTATGTCTACTTTGAAATACTGATTAACGTGAACTTATATCAAGGATCAAGACTTGATGTAGAGGTTGAAATTTTACATTTATACATATTTAAGTATAAATTAGGAAGATTCAAAATGAGAAAGCAATTTTTCAGGTTAAAGGATAGCGCGGAAAATGTGATAATAAAGAAACGAGACGAGATCAAGAAAGATTGGCCGATAAATTAATAATAATAAGAATAATGTAATGTCTATTGTTGATGAAGGAAAATTGGTTTCGACATGGCAATGTGTGAGAAATTATAAATATGCTTTCCTCGTGGTGGCTTACGCGCAGTAAAAAAAGGACTTTGAAGAAGTACCTACTGAAAGTATAAGCTAAGTTGTTGTGTTTGAGACGTTTAAAGGCTCAATGAAATAATGAAATTTCTGGGAATTTTAATTTTGAGAACAATAGATTGAGTGGCAAATATCTCTTGAACGCGGGATATGGATCTAACACAAGTGTCAACATGTGAAGTGACTATAAACACTTGATGATAATCGATGATACGTTTATTATAGTCATATAATATGTAACTTGGGGCATTGCCCTTTTTTGTCGCACACTTTGCATTAAACGAAATTTGACAAGCTCTATGTTGTGTACAAAAGAACGGTACTCTCAAAACTAAAATCGAAAACGTTACTATGAAGAGTTTTGTAAACGATTAAATACACAGAGTACCGGGGAGTATATATGATATACTTTTAAAGCTCATTTGCCAAAAGTTAAATCCGTGTTCTTGGCCCAGGCCACAAATGAGCACACCTTAGCCGCCATGTCAGGTCAATTTAGGTTGTGATTTACTATTGTTTTTGTTAAAGTTATTGTTATTATACCTCTTACTTATGTTTTCAGTATTGACGGACGACCCAAATTTCGCTGAGCCCATACCAAACGTAACGGTATCACTGGGCAGAGACGCATCCCTGCCATGTGTAGTCAACAATCTGGGCACGTACAAGGTAAGATACCACGTACATATTATTATTATTATCATTGTTTGTGTTATTATTATTATACGGCGAATAAAGCACTTCGTAAATCATCGAAGACGATATGTTTTTCAAAAGATTTACTGCCAACGGGTTTTTCGGTAGACTCATATTTTTCGGTCGGTCTATAAGAGCTTATTGTCAGATCGGAAAACGTAATGGCTGTCAAAATAGTAATTGCAAAACCAAAGTTCACTTAAGTCGATACAGTCATAAGTTGAGTTAACTAAACATAAAGTTGAACAAGCCATACATTGATTTATTTTGTACACCAATTCATTCTTTTTAACATTGAATATATGCTCTCGCCTATCACAACTACATCAAAATCGGCACAAAATAAGGTTAGGGAATAAATTAAAAATTAGCAAACAAATAAGAAAAATAAATAGTGGCGAGAATAAGCTGAGGTGACAAGGTAAGAAAGTAATATGAATGCTGATCGATATAAGGCGATCGAAAAATAAGAAACTCGTCTCAAAATAAAATGGAGATTGGTAATTGTTAGAGACTGTCTGTGTTTTGTAATTTTTAAATCATTCTATATATAATCTTTTTTCTTTCAATTAAGTAAAATTTTAAAATTTTAAACAAACGATTTGTTTCATTATATATACAAACTTTTTAAAGTTAATGTATTTTATAAAAAAAATAAATGTGATATAAATAATTATCTACTATAAATCATCAACCATATCGGTAATTGAGTTATAAACGCGGTACACCGACCACGGCGGTTCTACACTATGGCTATTAACTTTTAAATGTTAGGGGACAACAATAATGTACATAGTTAGCGGTGCATTTGTAGGGACTTCAGGCCTGAATGGAAACATAATAACGGACGGTACACTCAGTCATTTGCTTCTCTCTCTCTCTCTAAATATATATATATATATATATATATATAGAGAGATATAAAGAGAGAGAGAGAGTATCTATAAGCACGACCTCCATTTGTCCCTTAATTTAAACTTCTGAGTCATTGTAAGTTAAACAACCATCTACTATAGTATACCATAATAAACATGTGTACTATATCAAAACATCACTTTGCAAAGTACAAAGCGCTATACACTTTGTAATATGAGTTTAGAATATAATTTTAACAATTGTTTCAATTCACCAAACAAACAGTGTTGTTACAAACATAGAATTTTTGATTTAATTTCTCTAAAACGCTTTTAGTCTTTGCGGATAAAATAAACTAAATTAATAAGATATCACAGTTACTGTGACTACTGTAGTCTGTAGTAGTAAAAATAATAGAAGTACTACACGTATAGTTTGAGATAATACCAAAAAAAAAGTTTAAACCATAATATTAAAAACAAATACTGCAGTTTTAATAATTTATAAAACAAAATAATACATCTGTTGTCATTGTAAACCATATGTCGTAATAAACAATATAATGAAAATATTATTCTGATACTTGTTGGCGGTTGACTTATTCACACATAGCTGAAATTAAATACATTAACGTTTATGTTTTAAGAACTTGTTAGTTTTAACTTTTATATAAAAAGGGTTGACTGCAGATTTTTGAGAAAATGATAAAAGTTATAGCTCCACTTGAGTTCTGATTTCAATCTAATTTTTAGACTTGTGAAACTATCCAATGAAAAATCTTCCACCATAACAAACCTAAAACTTATGTAAAACATAGTGCCGTATTTTTAGAATGACAAATGTATACATTTTTGGGGTTTTCATTAGCTTTTGAAAGTGAAGTGGTGAAATTCTAAAATTGTTGTCCTAATAAAGACCCTCTCAGGTACAATTTCTGATCAATATATACTTTCTACATGAAGAAAACGAGGATAAGAAAATATGATGAAGATACAATACTTTCTCAGCTGCTGACAGCTCCTATCCTAAAAATAGCTCGTTGTTATAAAATTAAAACGCCATACACTTTAATTGTATTACATATGCAATGTGTGCAATTTGTACATCAGCTTAATCGACTTTCAGATACAAATTTAAAATCCTAATCTATATACTGTGTACATCTATACCGTAAATATGTATGTAGCCCCTTTACAACGGTCAACCGATCTGTATTGGAAACATGTACAGGCTATGCTTCCGGACACCCGTTCTCTGTACTGGGTTAGCTTTTTCCATATCAACCCTAGTTGCGCGGTCACGTACCGGACTCGGGTTTGAATACATATGTTTTCGTTAGCTGGACAAATTGAACCGTCTTCTCGGTAAGAAAGCGTATAGATTTCAAAATCGTATGTATATATGTGTGTGTATTTATTTTTCATTCATCTGCTATAAGAATAAAACCAAATGTTCGCCAGTTGCGCGCAGCTGTTCAAATGCATGCAAGTATATGCAATATAGACCACTACACGATAATTTTTTGTTAAAAAAAAATATATATTTTATATTCTTATTTTGTACATAACATCGTTTCTAACGTGCTAAGTTAGTTAAATAATTTATTCAAAACGCAATATTTAATTTCTGCCACATTTGAATTCTTGAATTCGCAAAGTCGAGTCAAATCCGGATTTGCAGGATTTTGAAATCCTAAAAGCAATGTTATCAAATAGGTGTGTTAGGATAAGAAATCGGTTCTGATTTCCAAAATCCCATTTTAAAGAATTTTATTTTGGGATTTTCAAATTACATTCTACTCTGTTTACTGATCTATATTTGATTTATACGTTGAGCTTATATATTTGTTTGTAGTAATAAGTAAATTCAATGGGGTATCCAGTGGAGGGTTTAGAGTTTAAGTGGTTTATAAAACATTTAAACATGGAAAGTTTATAGTTGGTCGGGCAACTCGTAGTGTCGGTTGGCAGGTCCGGATATTTTGTATAAGATTTACCATTTTAATTCCATTCTACTTTATCATGTGGCAGAAAAATGTCTATAAAATTATGTGGTATAACATTCTTTTAAAAAACCGCCGTCGCGCATTCTGTTGTTATAAATTTGTATTGAAGTCTACCTAAACTTTTTGCATAATACAAATTTGTAAAGTAGTTTCATATCGTTTTGTACAAAAATAATATCTATTTTAACAATTACAAACAAGTTATCATTATGCATATTATGTACAACGTGAATAGTTATAGACAAATCAATTACGTCGAGCAATAAAAATACCTTGTAAGGTACTTGTGAAAAGTCCCCGTGGAAAGACTTTAAACAAAACGATTTTAATAAAATTCGGAAACTATGTTACAGTTAAAGATATTTCGATTCGGTTAGCTAAAAATAAAAAAGGTCGAGTGTTATTTCATGCGACAAAAAAACCTACCTGCGCCATTAGTCCAGCAACCACTTGGAACAGTGAATGCTTTCCGTGATTCCTATAATTCAATTAAACTTAGTGGATTCGACGTTAGGATAGGATACGCGCTCAAGGCAACCGCGGTAATTATTCGTCAAGCAGATTTGTTAATATTTTATCGGCGCTAAAAGGCTCTCTTCTGCGTCGACCACCGTCTCAACCGCCGCGCCTCACTTTCCGCCCGGCAAACGCACAAGCACAAGGGGCCAAAACTTTACAAGTCCGAACCCCCGGAGGCGTTAGTTTAATTAAATATAGTCAGGCCAACAAGCTAGTCAGGAAGCGAAGCGACTGAATAAATAAACAAGCAATTTCGGGGCGAATACTTCGCCCGGGCCGACGTCGGTTTAGTGCCCCCGCGGGACGATCTTTCCTGCACCGCCGCCGCCGCCGCCGTCGGTAGTTGCCCACCAAAAATACAACCGACATAAACAAGTATGAAAAATGTATCAGCAACAAACACACCATACACCGTTCTCGTAGATAAATGCGCTAGAATGGGCCACAACCACCTGCCACGCCGTCGGTTCGAAACCTCCTTCTACAAACTTTCTTTATCTTTGCGAACACCTCGATACTATTGTTACGATTTCGGGCCAGCCACTTAACTGGAATTTAATTACCTATATTGTACTGCTTTCCTACCAAAAGTCAATGTGGACAAACGATTTTTCCATCGTCGATAGCCATAAGAGAGAAAAAAACCATTCATCATGATTTGCTGTCCGAAAATAAAATTGTCACACGACACAGCATATCATTGAAAGCAACTAGTGGAAGGTAGGAGGGATGCTGAGGAAATTCATACTTTACTATGATAGTATACTGTTTGTAAATATGTTAGAATATTTTTTAGGAAGCAGGAATTTTTTCAAATATATTGCACAACGGTTTAAAAAACCAAACAATTGAATTAAGTTTTTTTTTTAACTAACTGATGTCCAAATAAATAATACATTTCCTATAACATTTAGAATCATAAAATTGTGTCGTTGTTGACAAAATTTGTTTCAATTGCAGGTTCTTGATTTTACTTAACTATGGACTAAAACAATGCTAGAGTAACAAAAGTTGTTGTGGTGTTGGAAATAAAGGAAATATAATATAGTGCTAAGAATTTTAAAGAAAATGTCGACATTTTTTTAGCATGGAACATTTTAAGCTTTGGCCTCCCAGCTAAAAAACGCCTCAAAATAATTTTAACTTAAGCTTTAAGTAGTCTGTAACCTTTTTACAAGTACCTACTCAAAGTTCATTTAACAAGACATTTTGACTCCTTTAAAAATTATACAGAGATACAACATTATTTTATTATTTTATTTAAGTATGATATCGCACCCCCGCTTAAAAAGTGACACAACTCAAAAAACATGATTTCCAAGGTTATTATAGCATATTTTAAATAAATATCATATCATTATTGTGTAGAAATGTTATAAGTCTATTATTTTTTTCACCGATAGATGGCGCATGCAACTTTTGGTATTACATTATTTTACATTACGTTGTACTTTTTTAAATGGCTCTACTAGAAAATGGCATTTTTCGAGTTGTGTCACTTTTTAAACGGGGGTGCGATATGTCTATAATTTAAATATGCATTTTTTTTCTAACTATCTACTAAAATTAAAATATAAATGAGAATAGTTTTCTG